CAAGTTTCTTTCGATTAAAGCAAACACTGGGTGTGATCCCTCTGAATTGTAAATTGAATTGTAAACGCAGCTATCTAAACCTTTTCAGTGGGACTCGGTCCGCTTCCAAACAAACTCTAGTCGGTCTGACTAAAAAAGGAACGCAACATGGACCAAAGACATCTAAATGAACCAAAAACAGGATGTAATGTCACAAGATGTGACCTGGTCATAGAATCTGCACCGCCCACTACAGTTCAGTACAGGTGTCATAACCGTCGTGTCCTTGCAGCACATCTTTTGTGTGACTTTTTTACGCGTTTTATATGCATTTACACATACAACAAGCGCATTTAACCCAGAACACGGCCTTGTTTTAAATGTTCTGTCTTTAAAATATTCATCCTAAAAGTTGTCCAATTAGCTTGTGACCTTATTCTTCTACCTTTTATTCTGTATCTTTAGATCCTGTGTTAAAACAACAGAATGTCATTGTATAATTTTCTTTTTTGGTCCAGACCTAAGATCTAAATGTGAAACACACCCTTACAGGCCCTTTTGAGAAATTATTCAACTTACTTCCATTTCAACTGACCCCTAAATAGAGAGACAGTGCATCTGGTAATCTAAAAATGGCAGCGACCATGACAAGGTTATTTCAAGAGCGGTGAATGGCTGAGATGTGTTGTTATAAAAAATCTTGAGGTCTTTTGCTTCTATATATACTCTGATCCTGGCAATGCTACTGGACACAGTCCAGGTGGCTCAAATGTCAGAAGATCCCATGTTACCTCATCACAGCTCTCGAGCGCTTCTTGCCAGAGTTTGAGTTTGAGCTTGCAGGCGGCCGTGTTGAGAATGCAGCTCAGGGCCGTGGGCTCCAGCTTCTTTTGGGCACTGTCGTCGTCGTCTAAGATGTTGCCACAAAACTCTAGATACCTGTGGACCAAAGTAACCACAGTGACGCTGCTGGTTTACAATATGCAGCACTGTAAATCAGCAGTGTCACTAAAGGTTACTTTGGTCCATGTGACAGACATGTCACATTCACAAATGTTATGAGCAGCATGTAGATCATTGCACACTTTGAGAGATCTTGCTTATCAAGCAGGTCATGTCATCGAGACATGAAAAACAGGGCTATTACAGCATTTTTAAAAGGTTTGACACATTGAAATCAAGTCTATAAAGCTGGATGTAATGAAATAATGGGGCTTAATGGCAGACTCGAGTGTTCACCTGAGAGCTTTTGAATATTTCAGTATGGCTGACTGCCAGTTCTGAGCCTTGAAGAAATTATTCCCGATATTTTTCACATCCTCTGCCACAGAAAAGACTTTGTTTGTCTAGAAAGAGAACAGATTAAGTTGTTTTTAGCAAATGAAATTTCAGCTATCATACTATAATATTGTGTAATATAAGTTTGAGTTGCAAATCGCAAAGAGCCATATCTACAAACGCAATATTTACTTGTCATTTAAAGGTTATAAGCTTGTATATGCATATTTAGAAATAGTTTATATATACATCTTTAAAGTCTATGTCAGAGTCCTCAGGGAAGTCTGGGTATGCGTCTCCTGAGCCGTCGTTAGGTGCGATGCCCCAGTCGTCTCCCGCTTTAAGTTCTCCACATTCAGCAATGACGCAGGGCTGAGAGAGAGAGACACTTAAAATCAGTTTTAATATACATATTCATTTGCTCACTGGAAAAAGGAAAATGCATTTTCTGTTTCCTTCTTGAAGAGATAAAAGGTTACAAACTTGCTGCGTCCCAATTCGCATACTATCCATCCTAAATAGTATTTGAAAATAGAATTAGTAAGTCCCAAATTGTAGTATGTTGAAATGAGTGTTTCAAAGAGACCCGGATGGTCTACTATATCCGGTCAGAATCCGATGTGTAGATCGATGCACACTCTAATGGCTGATATTGCCCACAACCCATCGTGCGTTGAAAGAGGATTCGGTTAGAACTACAAACACGAGTAAAAAGTGTTAAAAAAAAAAAAAAAAAAGTCCCATGGTTGTGTAGAGAGGTTTAGATAAAGAGCTTTGAGTGATTAATTATACTAAGTATCTAACCTGACGAAAAAGAATTTATTCAATGTTGTCCACATTATATTGCATCTGCAGCAGCATTGTGAACTTTAGTAAAGATACATTTAGCCATTGCTTTTTAAATATATTCAAATTGCAAACACGAGGAGAGTCTCCACATGAAAGACCCACAGCCGGCAGATGAAGGTGCTCTCCGAAACGGTAGGAAATCAAATTAGATAAAATGGTGGATTTTAACTGTGACGAGATGTTTGACAGGACAGTTTACGCAGACAGGATGCACTCAGCACACGACAGAGCTGTCCGTTAAAGATGACGTGATAGTATGTCCCAAAGCTTGCCTACTCTTTAGCTACACACTCAAAAGTATGTACTTTTTCTTCACAAAAGAGTACATACTTTTAGGGCGTAGTATAAGTAAGCGAATTGAGACGCAGCAACTATGTCAACTCCTTTCAAAAAGCTAATTTATCACACAAGCTAGTTCACCTGTGCAGAACAGGTGACAGACTTAATTTCATGACTATTAAATCTTGATAAAGGTGACTAAATGCCTGTAAAAGACTCAGACACACCTGTCCTTCAGGACCAGTTAAGATCTCGCTCACGCTAAATTTCTAAGCATGGTAGCAGATGTCACAACGTCATGATGCGTTTAAAGAGTGAAAAATGTCTGCATGCATTTAACGGTCACCTTCACAGGATTGTCTTCCTTTGTTTCCAGCCCCTCCAGCAACTTCACCACCCCCATTCCTTTCAGCACCTGGCCAAAGACGACATGTTTGTCGTCCAGATGCGGCGTGGGAACCGTGGTTATAAAGAACTGTGAGCCGTTGGTGTTGGGGCCGGCGTTGGCCATGCTGAGCAGACCCTCTCTGTCGTGCTGGGGGGAGAGAGTCACAACCATTTAATGAAGCACCACTTCATTCAAGAGAAACACAAGGTGCATCTACTGTATGTCTCATTTATTCCTCAAAGCAGACACCAGGAAATTAGCAGATGCCTCAGGGAGATGAATCAAGGGCTGTGTTTGGTATATTTAATCTCAGAGCAATTTGTGAGCAACTACGCAGACTGATGGATTTGGTTAATTAAGCGAAAGGTTCACTAAAAATAAAAATTCTGTCACTGAATATGTGCATCGAACAAGATTTGGCGTTCATTAGAGATGGGTCGTGGTATGACCAGAATCCTATATCATGTTTTCCAGCGTGAACATTCTGCTAAACTACTTCTGTGTTACCGATATGAACAACATGAGGGTGAGTAAATGATAAGACTTTTTATTCTTTAAAGCAAAGGTCAGCCGGAACCGGGAACACTTCCCATAACATTCTAATGTAGCCTACTCTTTATATCATACGAGGAATGGCATCTATACTAATATTAGTCTCTCTGTTTATCCGGAGGTTTACCGTACTCAGCCGGATCCGGGCCGTATCCAAATCAGATGAAGGACCTGCGCCTAGGCATGAACAAAACGCAGCCTTGAAGTATCAGCAGAGACCGTGTCAACTAGACTATCTCCTGACTATCTCTTTTTTTTTTTTTAACGACAAACGTTTTTCCTTTTGAACAGTTGAAAACTTTATCAAAATGAAACACGCAAACGACTAAAAACGCTGTATTATGCATCCCAGACAAGTAATTGGCAAAGTCACTTTCTAAAGAATGACTACGTGTCCGCACACAAACGCGCATATGGAGGGATTGAAATCTAAAAAGTCTTAAACGAAAACTAAAAGTCTAATTCGAAAATGAATTTGGTATTTAGGATTGGGCATTTGGTATTTAGGATAGAGCATTTTGTCATTTAGCCATTTAGGATTTAGAATTTGGTATTTAGGATTGGGCGTGTATTTGAGGAATGTATGCAAATAAGGAGGTGTGGTCCAAATACTGGAGGCTGGGTTTGAAATGGCTGGTGCGCAGAGGCACCTTATGGACAGCAGAGGGCGCTCCCAGTGCTTAGGAATACACTAATGAAAGCAAACAGAGCGAGTGAGCAGGGCTGGGGGAGCGGAGACTGTACTTTATAGGGGTGAAAATATTCTCACAAAAGTTTTGTCAGTACTACATATATATAATGTTGATTATAATGTATATTAATGCAATGGGGGAATATTTGTGGGTCCTGATAATGCCATCTGATAATGTAAAAAGTGCCCAACATTATTTTAAATGTATCTAGTCAGAAAAAGTGCAAGAATATTTGTCTAAATAATTCTGTATTTTCAGCTTCAGAATCATGAATATTTGTATTCTGGTGTCACCATTGTCCTTGGGTTACAAGCACCGAATCCAAGCCTATTCATTTAAACCCACAATGTAATATCAAAGTTAGCATTTTTTAATCAACAGTACATTTTTTGTTAACCTTTTATCATATGTCTTGGAGTATCGCAATAATATCGTACCGGGAGTTCAATATCGTGATATGTATCGAATCAAAGCACCAAACGCTTTTGTTGTGTAAATGGAACGGCCAGAACACATTAAGTTTTCTGTTTTCAATTGAAATTTCTAATTTAATAACTGGAATGGAATTGAATCTATTAAAAACGTACTTAAGCTAGACAATGACTTCCTTCCAGAGCTGCTGTACAGCCAAAACAAACATTAATTTCCTATTATCAGTGTAAAGCTGCTTTGAAGCGATCTGTATTGTAAAAAAACTATATAAATGAAGCTGATGTTACAAAGCAGCTCTGTGGTACCTTGTAGTGAAAGTTTTCATCCTCAAACTTGTCCCCGTAGATGCTCTCTCCTCCAGTTCCATTCATATTAGAAAAATCTCCACCCTGGACCATAAATTTTTTGATGACTGAAGGGTACAAGAAGAGATACAAAGTTGATTCATTGTTTTATAGAGGGTGAATTTTCAGGTTATCCTTTTAAATGATCATACTTAATGTGACTAATAAGACTATTGTGCTAGCATGACATGAGCAATGAAATATTTTATAGCTGGCAAAAAAATAAATAAATAAAAAGCTTTCCATCTCCATGGAAACGGGAGGTCAGGACACTCACTGCGGTGGAATGGACAGCCCTTGAAGTGCAGTGGTTTTCCGGTGCTTTTACCAATCCCTTTCTCACCGGTACAAAGAGCACGGAAATTCTCTGCAGTTTTAGGAACCACATCAGCAAAGACCTCAAACACAATACGGCCAACTGCAAAGAGAAATAAAAACATCAGAATTAATTACTATCAGATATTTAGTCATCAGGTGACATGTGGCTGCTTATTATGACCGCTATTATTAGTTTTTAATGATTTTATCTGACCATATTGATTTTGCTTTGCGGATATCAATAAACTGAAAATCTAGAGTTTGACTTCCAAAAGAGTTACTCACTATAACTGAAGATAAGAAATGAGAAGTACTGTCATCTTTTCTTCTTATTTAATGCATTTTTTAGTTTGTATTTTATTTTTATTATTTTGTTATTTGTTTTGCTACTGATAAAAAACAGTTATTTAGCAAACATTTTGGTTTGAGATAGATGGAAAATATCTTTACATATTAAAACTTATTTCTTATTTTTTATTCTAAACTGTTTTAATTATTCTGATTTCTTTTTTGGATTATTTTAATTTCTTCTATGTAAAGCACTTTGAATTGCCATTGTGTATGAAATGTGCTATATAAATAAACTTGCCTTGCCTTGCCTATATATGTACACTATTATAGTCTAATATACATAATTACAATCTTTAAAAGTGCGACTTTAATATTGTATCCCATATATTACGATAACTTATATGAAGTAACGTTAGAGGACAAAAAATTTACTGCACAACAGCAATGACTCGTCTAACGTTATAACCTATGGTTATAACATTATAATACAGAAAACACTCAATGGCAAAACGGGGAAATGCATGTTGCTTTTCTAAACAGTAGTGTCCCTAGTTGAGTTGAGTGCATTTATTTCTTAATTCCTTGTCTTCCTTCTAAGAGGCATGTGGCAGCAGACAGAGGCATGATGGAGTCATTCAGCTTCTTTCTAAAGAAAAACAAAAGATTCTGACCTCTTTCACCATCGATATCTACGTCAAAGAATACCAGAGGGTTGTCTGCGTTTCCAGGCTTGGTTTCAGGAGTTGGGTTTGACATTTTCTTGGATTTTGATAGGCAATTGTCGCCAACTCTGACTGGACGGGGTAACTGGAATATTCTGTGAAAACTAAAGGAAGGCAGCACCGTTGAGTTTGTAACTGAAGCATAAGTGAGCGTGTAGCGCCCTCTGCTGCTGTGGAGTCTATATGCACAGGCGCTGTGATGCTTTGTTGGAATGACCCTCCTGTCGGTATACGTTCATGATTCTTGACACATGAAACAAAAAAAAACATAGACCTCCTCCTTTCCAACAAATGTAATATTTTGCTTTGAAATCAATCAAGAGATGATTACTAGAAAGTTCTTGGTTAGTATAATGCCCTTTTCACAAGATACACCATACTAATACCCCCCCCCCCCCACCACCACCACCTTCAGAACTGCCTTAATTCCACGTGACATTGATTCAACAATGTGCTGAAAGCAGTCTTTAGAAATGTTGGCCCATATTGATAGGATAGCAAAGAGTGTAGTAAAGAGTAAAGTAAAGAGTGGTTATTTCAGTCAAAGTTGCTCTTCTATCAGCTTGAATTAGTCGGCCCATTCCCCTCTGACCTCTAGCATCAACAAGGCATTTTGACTCCCGCATACTGGATGTTTTTCCCTTTTCACATCATTCTTTGTAAACCCTAGAAATGGTTGTGCATGAAAATCCCAGTAACTGAGCAGATTGTGACATACTCAGACCAGACCATCTGGCACCAACAACCATGCCACATTCAAAACCTTTCTTTCCCATTCTGACATTCAGTTTGGAGTTCAGGAGATTGTCTTGACCAGGATCTCACCCCTAAATACATTGAAGCAACTGCCATGTGATTAGTTGATTAGATAATTGCATTAATGAGAAATTGAACAGGTGTTGTTTCCTAATAATCCTTTAGGTAAGTGTAAATCTCTGATGTCCCCAGGGTGGCTATGTGATGTTTTAGCTCAAAATACCCCACATATATTTTTTATAAATAGCTTGTTAAAATTGTTACCTTTATAATATGATAAAGTATGAAAGTTCATTTGTTTCGAAAGGGCATTTATTGCAGTGATGCCATAGAATAACTATTTATGGTTACCCATTTAAACCTTTCAGTAAACAGTTCTAAAAACTAAGAACAGTTCTAAAAACATTCTAACAATCTAAGCGTCTATCCACAGACACACAGACAGTACTAATTTTACATATAAAAGCCTTTGCAATATAGGCTAATGCAATATAAAATAGCAATCACAGAATACATGTCTCCATATCTGATATCTGACCTACATTATGACTGTATGAAAAAGAAAAATATGATCTCTACTTAGTGAAAACAGGATTGTAGGCTACTTTACCATTTCATATCAGGTATGAACCAAAACATGAATAGTACAGCAAAAAAAGATGCATTTAATGTAGTTTTACAAAAGAGTTGACTAAATAAATGATTCAATGACCACTTTCAAGAATCATTCGACTTGTGTCAAATTCTAGAGAAAAAGTCATGCATCTGGTTGTGCTTTCTCCGTATGCACTGACTGCCTTTACTGCAGACCTGAACAATAGAACAATAAGAGAATGATTAGATTCAGACACTGCAGTTTATTCTTAATATAACAATGGGCAACCCAGCAGTGGGTTTGCAGAGTGTGTATCATTATTTCATATATCTCACTTCATTAGATGGGAACTGTTGGTTGTCATCCTTGCTGTATGTATCATGTGTGCCGTGGTTCCAAACAAGCCTCCTGCAGGTCGTTTGCTTGTCCCGAAACCAGGGCTGAGTGTGCCTGTGTGCAAGCATTGAATTATTGATTACCAGAGGAGAAAAGCTTCCTCTCATCCACTCTACCCATTTCCTGCTAGTGAAACCCATCACCGTCCAGAGCAATAAGGGGAGCTGGAGGTAATCTAACCCTACATCATGGTTACATGGTGTGTGTTTAGCTCACAATTGCACTGTTCTGCACAGCTGATTAAAAGCTGACAGAAAAGGAAAATAAAGTATTTTATTCACACGTAAGGCAATGCTATCAAAACGAAAAAAAAGTCTTTACAGATTTGTAATAAAAAAATGTTAAATACATACATTTCTATAAGGTAAAATCTGATCCTGAGAGACAACGAGGTGCGTATGATGTTCTATTTTTGAGGCAGTTAGTTAACGGCAACTATCGTTATTCACTATAATTATTTACACTTCAAATGTTTGGGGTGAGTACGATTTTTTGGTGTTTTTGAAAGAAGTCACTTATGCTCACCGTTTATCTGATAACAAAAGTATAAAAACCGCAATGTCGTGAAATATTATGACAATTTTAAAAACGTGTTTTTTTAATGTAATATATTTTAAAATGTAATTTATTCCTGTGATGCAAAGGTGAATCCATTCTTCAGTGTCACGTGATCCTTCAGAAATCATTCTAATATGTTGATGTGAAACATTCCTTATTATCAATGCTGAAAACAGTTATGCTGCTTACTATTTATCTGGAAACCGTGATAAAAAAAAATCAGGATTCTTTGAAAGTTTAAAATAACTTTTCTTTAACAACTTAAGTGTTAATACTTTACTTTAATTTAATTATTTAATAATTACTCAAACAATAACAACATCAAAATTTTACTGACCCCAAACTTTTGAAAGGAAAAGGCCTAGTGTTTATTTCAGCACAGTCTCATCCCAAGACGTCATATATCTGACGTCTTGGGACGTTTTGATCCGCCTTTTTAGGGTAGGATTTATACGTCAAATATCCGCCTTTTAGGGTACCCTTAAACGTCGGCTACATGACGTTATCGGATCGTATACCCCAGACCTAAACCTACCCCTAAACCTACCCCGCCACCTAACCGACGTTAAAGGTAAAGCGTCAGTTGTATGACGGCCCGGGATCGTCATGTAACCCAAGTTTAAAAAAAGGCAGATGTTGAAGTATGGTAAAAACTAAAAAGACGTCCCAAGACGTCAGTTATATGACTTCTTGGGATGAGACTGTATTATTTATTTTTATTTTTTATAAGTTTATAAATATAATATGGGGAAATGGGTTTAGTTGTCTTACTTTTTATGCCAATGTTTCTCAGTTTTTTTGAAAGTCAATTTCTATGTTTCCCATGTACGGAATATGTAATTTAATGAACACACACTGGTTAAAAGAAATTCAAATATACTACAATATAATATAATATAATATAATATAATATAATAGGCTAATAGTATAATATAGCCTAATGACCTGATATAGTGTGTGGTTGATGACAGTAGTCCGCCTGTTGAGTGCAGTGCTGTAATGTAGACCCCAGCCAACTTCTCCGGTGTATTGGTGTTTCGGTAACGGCGGGGTCGCGGTGGCTGCAGGCCGGAAGAGGTAGTTGAGGTCACTCGTGGCATCTGGAGATAATGGGCCAATTCCAATGCTGCGGGGGAAATAGTCCAATTTGGGACGGAAATCTCCAATGCCGTCTGGTCCTTGATGACAACAAAAGAAACACTTAATTCAAACTCTTGAACTTATTAATGATTAAATAAAGCGTCATACTAAAATAGATTCATTTACCTGTAAACAGTATTCTCTGTCCAGACCCTGCATGAGAAGGTGTAGTGTCCTGTTGTACCCTCCCAGCAAACAGGGGACGTCCTCCGGACGTTGCGAACGTCTAATTAGGTCCGGATCTGGTCCGGTTCATAACGTTCGCTGGGGGACGTTCGGAGGACGTCCGCATTTGGTCCGGTTTATAACGTTCGCTGGGGGACGTTCGGAGGACGTCCGCATTTGGTCCGGTTTATAACGTTCGCTGGGGGACTTTCGGAGGACGTCCGCATTTGGTCCGGTTTATAACGTTCGCTGGGGGACGTTCCGAGGACGTCCGCATTTGGTCCGGTTCATAACGTTCGCTGGGGGACATTCCGAGGACTTTCCGCATTTGGTCCGGTACATAACGTTCGCTGGGGGACATTCCGAGGACGTCCGCATTTGGTCCGGTTCATAACGTTCGCCGGGGGACGTTCGGAGGACGTCCGCATTTGGTCCGGTTTATAACGTTCGCTGGGGGACGTTCGGAGGACGTCCGCATTTGGTCCGGTTTATAACGTTCGCCGGGGGACATTTTGAGGACGTGCACTTTGACATTATGGTACAAAACCATAAAAACAAGAAGTGTTGGTGGTAAAATACTGCCTATTAGCATTTTTAGCACATGTTCAAATGAGATATGCTTGAGTGTTCGCAAAAACAATAATAAAAAAAATTTGAAAAGTGCCATTGTCCCGGAGTGATAATCCTAGGAACGGGTCATAGCTTTAAAATAAGTTTTAGATTCATGCTTTAATAATGATATTTTTATTCAAGTAGGTTATAATTCTAATTTATGTTTGTAAATATATGACTTGATGCGTTTTAACGGGCATGCGCGTGAAGTTGAGTTGCCATGGAAACGGAGGGTCACCGGTGCAGACAGCAAAACTCCGACTCTCCCTGTTTTCACTGCTTTCAGGTGAGTTTAGTCTCTAAAATCACACAAATAATACACACGACTGTTCTTGACACTTCTCTTAATTTTAACTGGCACGCTTCTGTTTAATATTTAACGTTACTTTATAGAAATGGGTTAGTGTCTTCGAAAAAATCAATTAGCATCACTAACCGTTTAGCTACAGAAGAATTAACGTAAGGCTAACGTTATAGCTTGAGCTTTTGTTTATGAATGTTTGGGCTTTTAATCACATTTTATGTGTTGATTAGAGGTTTTGATATTTTTGTAGCCTAAATATTTTGCTTGGAAGTGAGCTAAAAACGTATGTATTTAACATAAAACGTTACGTTTTATTACTGTTAATCGATGACGTCACTTACACGGCTGAAACTAGCTAATGGTTCATAAATATTGATAAAAAGAAAAATTATGTGATTTCAGCAGCAACAAGATAACTGTTGGCTATGTGACAAATGGTTTGTTGTGTTCCTAGATCGTTCCATGCTGATGCCCTGCTCAGTAGCAGAGTTGAACTGACCATCATCTGAACCTGGCAACCGGACACGCAAACACACACGCTCTTTTTTGATAATGAAAATAAAATTATTTTGTTTCCTAATATTCCTTGTTGTGTGTTTGTTCCTTGGGTAGTTAATATGTTAAAAATACTTCTAGTGAACGTTAAAGTTCAATATAGAAGTCTGAAAAGTCCCCGAATGTTTGCTGAACGTCCCGCAAACGTCTCCCGCGACGTCATGTGAACGTCCCGCGAACGTCCCCCGCGACGTCCTGTGAACGTCCCGCAAACGTCCCCTGCGACGTCCTGAGAACGTTTAAAGTATGGCGCTCGGAATGTTCCATTCGGCGACGAGACTGACAAGCAAGACAGATAACACACGTGAATACGTGCGTGTACGTCTCCATTTGTTTTATATGGAGACGTACACGCAAATATCACGTCACGTAAACGCGTCAATAACGTGTAGCTGTTGATCTATGCAGACGTCACGGCGGCGTCACGTTAAAAGTTTAACGTGTGGATTACGTCTGCACGTCTGCACGTCTGCCCGTCTGCACGTCTGCCCGTCTGAACGTCTGCCCGTCTGCACGTCTGCCCGTCTGCACGTCTGAACGTCTGCACGTCTGCCACAATCTAAGTTTACAAACAAGACTTATTTTGGCACATTTTATGTAGGACTATGATACACTTATTTTTATAATGCTGAATGTCTGGTAATGTACCATACATTTGGTATCCCAATGATGTAACTTTTTAATAAAAGTCTATGGCATGTATTTTGATTATTCGATCTTCGGAGATAAAAAAATAAAATGGGCTAAAAAAAAATTCAGAAAAACTGAGTCTTATCATTATATATTAGTGTGTTTCAGATGTGTTAATGCTCTGCAGCAAGCCAGCAACAGTCTGCATGCCTCAAGTTCACTCATGCTGCATCCAGCATTAATTAACCAGAAACCATTTTAGAGTTTATTGGATTTTAAACTAAAATTAGTTAGCCTGTGATTGCTTGGATCAGGCTACTGCTATTCTTATTCTGAACAAGTAATTAATCATTCAAATTAAAAAATTTTTAACATAAATGTACTATTTAATAGAGCTACAACACTAAAGTTTTTATAAAGCCTATAAATGTCGTCTAGTCATACTACACATTTTTTGCTACCGTTGAGAGCATACAAAAATCTCGCCCAAGTCAGGCAAAACAGTTGACAGCCCATATAAATACAGTAAGAGGAGCAAACACTGCATAGTTTTCACCAGCAGGAAAAACAAACACTTTAAACAGAATAAGATGAGATGAACACTTTAATCAGTAGGTGGCAGCAGAGCAGCATTTATTTGACCATCTCCACTTTCTAAATAGGAAATTACTGACCCACAAAACAGTTTGGATTCACTCTTTCCATTTATGACAAACAAAACTATTTTATTTAAAGTGTGAATAGATTATAAAGAAAGAGAACAAAGTATGCTCTTTTTATTTAGCGACTGATGGAACTCCTGCGAAAACTCCTCTGATAATAAATAAATTGTCTATAGCCGACAATCAAACATTTAGGCTGTGTAAACCTCACACTGCTGGTTATAGCTATCCTGAAAATTGACATTAACTGTAAACTTATTCCTCAAATCTAGTTGTAATATTGCTCAATGATCAAAAAAGGATGTTGATTCAGGAACATTGTACTTCATGAAATCATGTTCATCCATTCACTAAATCCCTTTGCACATACTGCCTTCAATGTCATTTTACAGTTTTTCTCAGTCACTTTGGTAGTTTCTTGAATCATCCTTAAGTTTTGCAAACCAGTAAATGCATTTCTCAAAATAATTAATAGCAGTCCATGGATTGCCTGCAAAAGCCTGTACCTCCTCAAATCCTTAGTTCATCTCTCAAAAGTGGTATTTATGTCAATGAACATATCAGTACCATTGAATAGTCCTTGTGTATTTGCTCACAAACAAGATATTCAAAATGCTTATTGATGTTGTCGATATGAAATTGTACTTGTTCAGTATTTCCCAGATATCCAGATGAAGCTTCATGAGATGCACCTCTGAGCTACTTCAGAGAACTGGTTGATCATTGGTTGATTTAATGCTTTACATTCCCCTTCATTGGTGAAATGCAAAATTTATAGCCAAGAAATGCTTGCTGTCATTAAAACATTAAAATGTAGCATGTCATTGGAACCAATAACGGCATATATATTTAGGCTAGCTATATTTCAATTTATAACACAGTCACTTTAAATTCACATAATGTTTAACTGGGTAACATAATTAGGAAAATATCAACCCGCAATATATGAAAATTAACTGCCAATTGAGACCAAAAGTTGAGAAAAAAATACCAAGTAAAAAACACATTTGTAAATATTTATTTTAATATTTCTGTAATGAGCAGTCTTTAGCTTTTGAAAAAATCATTAGAAAACCAGAATGCCTGTAAATAAACTATATGGTAAAGACATTTCACACAATAAAAAAAAAATTGTTCCAAACATCACCACAGCAGAACAATTGCAATTGTCTTAAAGGAGTAGTTCTGTGGATATTAAATATATAGCCTCTTTTTTGTTTGTTTTTTTTGAAAGAATAGTTTGAACATTAACCAGTAATGTCAATAGAACAGTGCCTTGCCGCCATCTACTGGCGGTTTTATATTTATAATTAGTAGTTTCATATTTGTTTGGCCGAGCTCCTTTATTTCGGGATTTAGGCTACAACTCGTTATAACGATTTTTTTATAACATAGAATTTCAGAATATAATTCCACCCACTGCCACTCTACTATATCTATATTTTTTGTATTATTATTAGCCTGTATAGCCTATTCCCATGCTCGTGCATAATTGATACAAAACGAAATTCACTTTAAAGAAAGTCTTTCTACAAAACAAAACTTAATGAAGTGGTCAACATCATGTCTGACCCACTTGTCTCCCGTCATATCGCATCCTATATGTTGCTCTTACTCATGCTGTTCACTGTTCATAATCAACATAAATGAAAATTAAAATATAGCTGCAAGCAGCCATTACCGGGGCCAAGCGCAAAAAGCGGCAACATATGCCAAAATGGCAAGGAGTGGCAGACCAACTGCAGCAAGGAGCAATTAAGGGCATTTTGAGAGAACTTTGGGCAAATGGCTAAGAAAATCACATAAACACGAACTTATAAGACGATTTAATGGATTATCACTTTCGAACAATAGGTGGCGCAGTTACGAAATAGATGTGTGGTCAGAGTGAGGTGACAATGACACATGCAAAGTTTGGTGTCAAAATGTGAAGGCATTGCAGAGATAAAGCCTAAATAGTCATTTTGGCAGCATGCCTCAAATTTGATGCTGTGTTATACCAAAACGGTTTTGTCTATCATCACGCAATCCATAAATTTTATTCGGCACCGTCTGGAGATGATACGATTCAATTTTCGTGAAAATCGGACAAACGGTCTAGGAGGAGTTCGAAAAAGAAGGCTTTTCAAAGAAATAAAGATGGCGGACAGGAAGTTTGGCTGATTATGCAAAACCTGATATCTATGTTTTCGGCATAACCCAAGGAATCTATTAAGATCAGTTTCATTGCAATAGGCAAATTTATTCAAAAGTTATT